TTGAGATGTAATGGTGCAATTTTAGCAATGGGAAAGAGACATAAAAACATTCTATCAAACGTTTGTTAGAGTTCCTTTTAAAATTGCTTTAACTATAGCATCCAATAAAATCATACACAATCACTCCATGAATCAGTATCTAATTATTTTATATTGGCTCATGATTTTACCCAAGAGAGAACCATAGCTTTCTTTTAATCATTACTTTTACTTTAAATCAATAGTGTCTGCCAAGTGGGTAACATTTCTCATTAAAACATCTTATAATTGGTGTAATTACTTTATAAAGAGATAAACTGAAGCACAATGTTACAGTCTTTGGGTTTATAAAATCTATTTTCACAACACAATATTTTATTCATAGTTATCTCAAAAGAACATTAACTTGAAGAAAAGGCAGACATTTGTGATAAAGTAATTGGAAAGAAACAAGTTAATTATTGCATATAGCACCACCTTGTGATTTATAGAAAATATATGTATGTGTATTATGTGTGTGTGTGTGTGTATTTGGTCATTCAGATGAACACACTAAATTTCTTATATATATTTAGCCCCTGGCCTTCATCCACAATACCTGACTCACAGCTCCCCAAATCCTTGGGATTTCCTAAATGTTGAGAGTGATAAAGCTATTTCTTGTTATAATGAAAACAAGCTGGGACAGCACCTAAATATGAAGAGGTCTTCTGCTAGGGAAGCCACCCTGTGATTAGAGGGTTGGAATGCCCATTCTGTCCTCCAACCTTTGGGGAGAGAAGAGGGATTAGAGGTTGGGTTTGATTGCTAATGTCCAATGATTTAATCAATCATGCTTATGTAATGAATTAATAGTCACAAAAAGGAGAGAGTTTAGAGAGCTTCTGGATTTGATAAATAGCCCCTAAAGGAGTGGATTCAGAGAGCATCTGTATTAGTGAATATGTGAAAATTTGAGGAGAATGGCAAACCTGGAGAGCGCAGAGACCCTGTGTCTTTTTCACATACCTTCCCTATACATCTCTTATCTCCCATTTGACTGGTTCTGACTAAGAGTATAGGAAAAGAAGCTGGAAACACCTAGTTGAACCAGGGAGGGTCATACAACCATATATGCTACCTGAGAACCATACCTTAACTCATAACCTTTCTTATCTCTTTAGTATTATTCCTACCTCTGATAAAAATAAATTCCTTAAAACTGCAAAAGAACAACAAAAAACCTCTCAATTTGTACTTCACTTGTGCTTCCCCTGTTGCTTCTATGAAAGGAAAAAAGGGTAGGCACAAGGAATATACTGGAACAGGAGGAAATTGGTTGACCTTTTGTCAGTTTTAGTGTCATTCAGTGCTATGGAGTTCCATTCTATTTTTCTTTCTTTGTTTATTTCTTTTCTCTATGGCAGTTTGTAGAAAATTTTCTCCCTCTTTTTTGTTTCCTCTTTTCCCCACCTACATCAATAAGCATCCATCAGGAAGGAACAATTTATAGACTGTGAGACACAGAGAAAGAAAATAATAAGCGCAAGGCTATATGGAAAGATAGAAATATTTGCATTTGTCCCCAGAAGCTACAGAAAATTTTGGTTGGGGAAGGTGAAGGGAGAAGTGGTTGTGATGGTGGTAGGGATTGGGGTTTGGGTGAAGGGGTATTTTGGGCGTCTTGTGCAGAGGGAAAGAAATGAAAACATTAGCTACTAGAGAATTTTTCCATATCAGTGACAAGTTCATTTTCACTTATGGCTTTTACTTGTGAACAGGTAGCAATGTCAGAGTCCCTTCCTGAACAGACTTTCTCTGACCACCAGCTTAAAATGACCACTAGCTCATTCTCCACTGTATTATCCTATTTTTATCTGTCCACACAGCATTCCTTATTATCTGGGATTCTTTATTTTTTTTCTGCCTCTCTCCATTATCCGCCCTGACCCCCTTTCCACTAAACTGTAAACTCAAAGACAGTGACTTTGTGCCATTTATTATCTATCTCATATTCCTAAATTTTAAGTGCCAAGTTTGCAAGAATTTGGATGGTTTTGTTTGCATCCATGTTCTTCAAAGGGCTTGCTCTCCGTAGGGCCACTCAATATTAAGTGAGAATTATTCAATAAGAATCATAGAAAGAAAACCCTTGCATATTTACAAGGTTGCATCATGCTAAAGTAGTTGGAAATTTTTTAAAAGATTTATTTACTTATACATACAAGAACTGGTATACAGGCCAGAGATGTGGGGGTGAGAGGATTCACTAGAGACAGAATAGGCAGCAGAACAGGCAGAATGAAATACGCTACTGAGGGCAGGAGCAGGAGGGACAGGAGATGTCTGCTGGGCCACCACCCTGGTTGGGGATCAAACTCACATCATAGAGCCGAGTTTTAACCCGTTGTGCCATCAGGGAGGGGCTGGTAGTTGGAAATTTCTCTGAATTGGGTAACATCAGGCTCATTACCTCCAACACAGTATTGTCTTAATTTTTAGTTCCTTTGGACCAACAAGGGCTGATAGCAAAAATGGAGCCAGATTACACTGTGCTAAATAGTAATCTGGGTGTGAGGATGATACTACAAGAGGAGAAAACAGCCCTTTCCAGTCCTTGGGGCAAGAAAGAGAAGCTCTGAAGGATTTGTTCACTGCAATGGAAGCACATGCTTCAGTCCTTTAAGTTTGACATAAGGCTTTTCAACGTGCCACAGGTTACAATTACACTGAAATACACTATGAAAATATTCTTCACATATTAAAATATACCTTTCATCAGACTGGTAAACAAAGATTTTTCTCAGTTGTTTGGTATGTCTATCTCAAATTCTACCTCCCTCCTTTATTGTATTTCATTTTGGAGAAGAACAAAAGAAGGGCGTAGATCACTTCTCAGTTAAGATGTTTAGTATTACCATTTCATTAGTGATTTAAAATGGCTCATTTCAGAATATGTAAAGTCTAACAAATATATGCATATTTTAGTGTAAATAGAATTTCACACCAAGGTATATATATATATTTTTTTAACTTTGTGGATGATAGTGTTCCATTGGGAACAAAAGGGCAATAGGAAATGACAAAGTAAAATGTAGAAGATTGTTAATGAAAAAAAGAGGTTAATTATGACAAATTGCTTTAGACAAAATTATGGATATTAAACAGACCTGACAGATATACTATCAGATCTATCATTGAAATGGATACCTCTGATTGGGACAACAGACAAAAAGTCGGGTAAAATGGTATGTATGGTCACCCTTCTCATAGAAATTCAGTGACAACAGACCTGCTTTTACTTATTTATTTTTATTTAAAGAGAAATGCCCAAACAAAATAGTTTTCTTAGGTTTTGAACATATGGTAGACAATTGGTCCTTTTTGATTAACTGCTTAATTTGTTATAATAAGGTTAAATATAACATCTGAATATATATATATGTGTGTGTGTGTGTGTGTGTGTGTGTGTGTGTGTGTATAGCTATTAACTTTCAGATAGAAAGAGAAATTCAATAGATAATGTACTTTATTTTCAAATTGCTCTGGTCATTGGAAAACTTTTCCCTTGGATGAAAGTCAGAATTGAGAAGTCTGCTAATATTTCCCAACTTAAAATAAAATATACCTTTTGTATTTTTGTTAACATCATTCTTCATTTTGTGAATTTTTTCATCTCGGTTGTATTCCCCGTGGGCTTCCCACCACCAAGTCACCCGTGTGCTATCACTATCGTCCTGTGCACTCCTCCCACTCCAGTTTTGCTCCCATTCCTCTCTCCACCTCTGTAAAATGTCTCTGGTTTATAGTTGTTCATTGCTTTTTGTTTTTACTTTATTAAAATTGCTTCGTCCACTGCCCCCCGCCCCCTATCCCTTACACTCCTGCTATGAGTGAAACCTTCTGGTATTTTTCTTTTTCTTTCTGGCTTATTTCATTAAACACAATCTCTTCCACCTCCATCCATGTTGCTGCAAAAGGCATGAATTTATCTTTTTTGTTTGCTGAGTAATATTCCAGTGTGTATATGTACCACATTTTTCTAATCCAGTCATCTACTTTTGGGCATTTGGGTTGATTCCATGCCTTCCCTTTTGTAAATAGAGCAGTAATAAACATGGGGATGCAGGTGTCCTTTTGAGTCAATGTTTTTGTGTCCTTTGGGTAGATACCTAGGAGTGGGATTGCTGGGTCATATGGAAGCTCCATTTTTAGAAGTTTGAGAAACCTCCAAAAGCTTCCCAAGATCACCCACTTTTCAATATTGACCTGGTTGGCAGAGTTCATCTATGATCCCAGCCCTGGCTGCCTGTGACTATAAGGAGCACTATGTGGAAAGGATCCTGAGGCCACATCAGGGCTCAACAGTGTCTGATCAACTAAGTCTGCAGGAGATATGGGATATAGAATAACGGCAGAGGACAATATTGCCATCCCAGATTTGGTGAACATATCTCTTTAACAATACTTCTCTAGCATATTTAATACATATTTAATTGCAAAACAAACAATTACACTTTGTTGATTCTATATCTGTTCACTCTACTATAGAATAATTAATATATTAATTATATATAGCAGAGAAAAAAATACAGCAAACATGCTAATTATTTGTTCCTCTTTTTCTGTTGTTTTTGGGGCTATATTTTTATCCCTTGAGAATTTAAAGCAATAAAATTAAAATTAAATTTGCTTCTCCCCTTGCAAGCAAATACTCCTGTTTTGATTTTAAAGAGCCATTTTCAGCATTTATTTCAGTACCATTTATTTGGCATTATTTAGTTTAGTATCATTGCCTTGCAATGAGGGAATATAGAAAGGATATAGCTGATACTCTTTAAAAATACAGGATGTGTCCCTAATATTGCTGCTTCTTTTGTGACTATGAAATATCTCCTATCTTGTTTTTATTTCTCTAATCCTATACACATATACACATATGTGTGTATACATACATACATACATACATACATATATATATATATATATATATATATATATATATTTGGACCATACAACTCTAGTTTGCCAAAAGTGAAATACTATTGAAAAATATTTTCCAAAATATTTTGTGGAAAATAAGAATTAATAGATGGCGACTCTTCATTCATGATCCCCAAACAGGAGACAAATTCATCAGGCAGCAGGGTCTGTTCTGAAATAGTTTCACTGGATAAAGTATTTTCCAAAAGCTTGGTGGGTTCCCCCTCTATTGAATTTTGCATGTTTGGAGAACTGCATTCTCCTTGATTTAAAATGAGATTTAATTCTTCAAAAAGTACTGTGTCACTTACAAGGCTCATATCTGAGACTGAGAAAGCAAAATTGGGACATTTTTTAAACCTGGCATTTGTTCCTGCTTCTAAGGAGTCAACTGGTGGTTTAAAAGTCAAGGGGACAGCTTCATTACTATTGGTGAGATGGTGTCCTCCACTGAAAAAATTTGAAATCTGGGGTTTATACCCAGTGTTGAGATCAGGAATATACACAACTGTAGTATTGGTGAGTAGTGACTTTTGCAGGCACTCTCTTTTTTCTGGGGATTCTGTGTTTTTTTCTTTTGTGAAATCCGTAGACTTATTCTGTTCTTCTGGGGGAAGAATTTCTATCTCTGCAGTCACTGGATCAACATATAGGACTTGTTCATTGGAATTATCATTCATAAATTCATTTTTTTCCTACAAAGAAAAAACATTGTCTTATTTTACAAATAACATTTAAAAGGGTCAACTAGTTAATTGATTAAGTAGTAGAATTCTTCTTTTCCTCAACATTCCTTTTCCCTGCCCTTTTCTCATATTGTCTGTCTTCCCAGACAATTTCTTCTTTTTGTCTTTGGTATCCTGCTCTATTCCAAGTCTATTAAATTCTCCTATGAGAAGACTGAAGGAAAGGAATAAAGACTACAATCCATGGTTTCAGTATATTTGTTGGTTTGAAAATTTTAAAGGCAATATAGGGTCTTGCATAGTAACATACATTATTTCAGGGTCTTTCAAGTTTTATATTTTGATGTATGTTGGAATATTTTTTAATATAATGGAGCCTTACTACAAGAAAATATTTTGTTACTTAAATAAAAGAAAAAAAGGGAGAAGAATCCTGTTTTGCTTCCTTACTGTGAATAAGGTTTAATAAATGCTTTGTGCTGACATTGTAAAGGTATACAGCTACTCACAATTCAGACATCCCTAAAATGGGTTGGTAAAAGAAAGTTTTTATTTGCATATAAGTCTGATGACTTTTTAGGGTATGAAATGAACTTGAAGTCTTTTAAATGATGACTAGCTTGCCAGGGAAAATTACTCCTACCCAAAACAATTATAAAATTATAGCCATTTGTTATGCACTGAGTGTGTCAATCATATGTGGAAGATCTAATCCTCAATATGATAGTATTTGAAGATGAGGCCTGGGAGAGTAATTAGGTCCTGAGGGTGAATCCCTCATGAATTAGATTAGTTCCCTTCCTTTAACAAGAGACATGAGAGATTATCAGTCTCTATTTCAGTCACATGCAAATGAAGCAAAAAGACAATTGCCTATAAGATAACTTTCCCAGACCCAACAGCCATACCTTGACCTTTTTGTAAGATTATGAGATTACAAATGTTTGTTGTTTATACCACCTAATCTATGATATTTCATAATAACAGCTCCAGATGACTAAAATACCACCCCTTAGTCTTTGGGCAGACAAAAGAACCACATCTGACAGAAATCCTAAGGTTCAATTCTAATTCCAAGAGCCATAACTGAGAAGACAGCTTGGAAGACCTTGAGTAAAGCCTGATGAAGTGCCATTCACCTTGTCTTCCTCCTCAGCCTCTCCAGGGAACTTACCAGTTTGGGTTGTCATGGGAGACATGTAATTAAATGATCAGCTCAAAGTCAAAGAAACTAAATGTGCTATAGGAAATTAAGCATGCAAGGCAGTCTTGTTCTGAGGAAGGATGGTGTTTTCCCCGTTTCATTCAGGCTGGCAACTGAATGAAGTGAATGGGAGTCAGACCATGATGAAGGACACAGAAGAATAACAGGGACTATTCCAGTGGGTGGACAATCAATGAAGAATATCTGATCACAATGAAGTCAGGACAATTCTCTGAAGTCAGGACAATTAGGAATAGAAAGTTAAGTCTCTACTTTCTCACTTTCTATTCACTTTTCAACTGAACCTTTGGGCTAAGATTACCAGTGACTTTGTCTTTGCTACATTCCAGGGACTCATATCACTCCTGGTATAGAACCTCTACAAAGTGCTCAGCACCATAGATACTTGCTTCTTGACACTTTTCTTACACAGCACACTGCACTTATTTCTCTGACCCTCTTATTCTACTTCTTTTCTGGGACCATGTCTATTCCTCATTGTCTTTAGCTAAATCCTGAGCAACTCTTTCACATCTCTTAATATTTCCTCTATACTCCGGTCATGTTTGGCTTCATTTCTGCCATTGCACTTACATCACTACATTGCAACGATTGGCTGTTTCTGTTCCAGAAACTGGGACAGAATGACTGGATTTTGAGTGCATGACAGCCAGGTCAGAATGATAAGTAACAGATAGCGATTTCTCCCTCCATAGTCAGCAGCAGTTCTGCCATAACAGCAAAGTCCCTGTACCCTTAGTGTCTTTCCAACACACAGTTCTTTGTTGAACTGGTAAAGTTCAGCACTTCTGGTGATACCATCTTCTGCCATTTTCTGACAGTTATTTTCTTGATTTCTATTGGGTCTCAGGAGTACAATGGTGCCTTCCATGGACTCTACTTGTTTCTCCAATGTAATATACAAAAGAAGTCTCCTTTAAGGCTCTTTCTGTTGAACTTTTATGTTTCCCTTTTGCCCCCCCCACCCCCAATCATTATCTACCATTAGCTTGGCTACCTGTGACTTTGATACCCGCTCTTCTGAGTAGCATGTTCCTTCCTTCTGTCTTTTCTTCACATAACTCCATCCACTCATTTCTTTTAAGTACAATTTGAAATACAATTTTGTTTCTATGTGTGTTTATACAATTTGTTATGCTAACATGTACACTCATTTATTATTTAAATAGAAATTCTGCTCTATTTATTGGATTGTGCTTTGGGTTTCAGCTGCTGCATAGTTTTTACTGTGATATTGTTTTGTTACCTGTAACATTTTTGCAACGCTACTGTTTCCCATATTAGGAATATCTTCATGAAGCCATCTTGGTATTATCAATAAGATTCTTCTTTTAATTCTAAAAAAAAAAAGACATGTATTTTTATTTAGAATTTATATATAGTAGAATAGGAAATCATTGGAATGGAATTCTAATTAGATTGGAAAATTTGAATGAAATGCATCATAAAAATCAACTACCTGATGCAGAAGTTAAAATTTCTATCTCTTAAAAAGGTTAAGTGGGCTGGAAAGAATTACACTCTGAAATAAGTCAGAAGGAAGAAAGTACAAATACTGGATGTTTTCACTCATGTGAAATATAAACAAACAAACAAACAAACAAAAAGGAACAGACAAACCAAAACAACTCCTAAAATAAAAATATGCCTACAGAATTGAAGCTACTAGAAGACGAGAGTGAAGTGCATTTTGATTTATAATTCAAGAAAAGATTATCTCATGAGACAAGTAATATCAGAAAGAGAAGTCCAGGTCAATTAGGTAAAGAACATTGTGTCAAAATTTGTAAGTAACAAAAAGAAAAAAAAAAAAAAAAACAACTGTGAGTAACTGAAGCCCCTGGGAAATGCCGCACAAAAAAACTCTAGTTTATCAACAGATGGAAATACCCAGTGTATCTAGTTAAAACTTAGGGTGATGAAGAGCTTGCTTTTCTCAAAGCCTCACTTTATAAGAACTAGGAATAGATATTTATTAATACTATATTAACAAAAAGTATTAAAGGCCAGTATAACACCAACACAATTGTTATCAAAATCATGATTTTAAATATTGTCACACTTCTCTCACAATGATTCAGCTGATTTTTGGGGTAGAATTTGAGACAGGTTATGATTTAACCACTCTGAGAATTCAAACTATCAATAAATTTGAGGGCACAGTGACAAGGCTATGTAATGATGGAAAGAATATGGATAGTGATGATAACCCAGTGTAGACTCCTGGCTGAGCACTTAGTGACATCAAGCTGACCAGTTCACCTCTCTAAGGTTCATGTAAGTTATCTGTAAAATAGGCCTTTCTATTGAGTGTGAGTGTGTGTGTGTGTGTGTGTGTGTGTGTGAAAACTAGGATGTAAACAGGGTGGGGGGGGAGGGAAATGAAAGGATTTACCAGAGACAGAGTGGGGTCAGAACAGGCAGATTTACTGAAATACACTGCTGAATGGAGCAGTGGGCAAACTAGGAGATGTCTACTACATCATGTGTGTTAGCTCGTTGGCCAGGGATTGAACTCAGGCCATAGAGGTGATAGTGCTGAGACATAGCCTCTAGCCTTTTTTGGCAGGATCACTGTGAGGATTAAACAAGTGATATCTGTAAAGAAATTGATATAGTAGATACTCATTAAATACTATTTCCTTTATGTTTTCCTTTTTCTGAATAAAAATGATGGTGGATTGCCTAGTAACTGAATTTATTAATGTACATGTGTATGTAAGCACGTGTGTGTGCTTGTGTGTATGATCTAAATCATAAACCAAATTCTACAAAACATACCCAGTTCGGAGGGATCTGTTAAATATCCCAATCAAAGATAGAATTGACAACATAACTGCAAAGAAGACCATTCCAGATAAAAGTCCAATGTCTTGCTGCCTATTGTCTGAAGGGAAAGAAAAATTAGTGTCCATGTTATGCCAGAATCACATTTCTCTCTACTGTGCTCAAAGTGAAAGTCATTGACCTTAAAGGAAAAGGGAGGAAAGAACAAATTTAACCTTTTGATGGGCTATAAAACCACCTTCCAAACTACAGGACTATACCTTTTGTTTGAGAAAATTGGACTAGAGGTATCTGATGTCAATAAGTTTCTAGAAATGCATCTCTAGCAAATGTGGTCAGCATTAGATATTTTTCTTAGCTTGTGCTTTCATATTTTATATAAAAGGGTTTAGTGATGAATCTCACTTGGTTTGTCTGACACAAATGAGAATTTCTAATTGGTTATAGGAATCAAAAGCTGGCCACAATCAAAACTGAGGGTTTTTTTTTTTAAAACTTTTTGTGCAAGACAAAGTTATATATAGATTATTACTATTCTTCAAAATTTATTGTCATGATTTTTTTTTCTGCTGAGAAAGGACATTTACTCTTTTAAAACAATGTTATTAAAATAAATCAAAATTGTTTTCTGTCTTGTACCCATATCTTATTTAAAAAACAATGCCTTTCTTGCATTTTGAAGTTAATTAATCATCTAAAAACTTTTAAAAACTCGAATATTATATACTAGGCATCATCATATTTTCTCCCTAGTACATGAAAAATCCTGACAACATACTGGAATGGTGTTTGTTCTGATCTACACCAAGTATTGAACTCTTTCCCATCTTCTGCCTTACCTCTCTTTAGCAAATGAGACAGACACATAGCATTGACTCTGCCCTAGTTATCCAGGACCACTTACCACGTACTTGAGGTCTCCAGGCTGTCCAACCCCTCCCCTAAAGACAACTGGTAAACAGGGGTCGGTGTACCTTTAGCTCATTCTGTATCCCAGTGGGACATGGAATATGGATATGGAATTAGTTTTTTCTTAGGGTTTAAATGTTAATGCTGAAGATTTCAAGCAACTAATAGGAGCCCTGACCATCATTACCGTTGGGCATTATGCGTGGAAGAGGTTAGACAATCCCCATTAATTTGGCAAAGGGGCTTAAGGAAGAGAGTGACCAAGAGCACAATCTGAGATATCTGGGTTCTGCCACTTACCAGCTCTGTGACCTTTAAGGCATGATTATAAACTTGCTGAAGCTCAAGTTTCCTCTTCTATAAAATAGAAATAATAAAACCTATCTAATAGGTTTCTATTAGAATGCTGTGAGTTCCTAGCCTCCACAGTTCCCACAGAAATATCAAGGTGCACTTCTGTGTAGCAATCTATAATTAGAGATCTGTACTGAACCCAAGCACTTGGCCCATACTGATTCACATCTACAGCACTTACCTTGCTTTACATTTCTTTACAGCACTTAACTGCCATCTGACTTTTCTGTTGTGATTGTTTTGTTTGTGTTTTTCCTTTCTCATCTATCTAGAAGTTCCATGAAGACATGGACTTTTATTTCCCAGCACTTGAAATCTCAAGTGTCACATAATAATTGCTTGGTTAATATTTGTCAAACAAGTAAACAAAAGCCCAAAGAATGTCAATATAACCTACAAGAGTTTTTATACTATCCCAGCTGGATTACTACTTCTATGTGAGGAAATTAATGATCTACTAGTGGTCATGGTAAAATCATCATGTCTATAGTTTTTTAATTCAGAGTTTTGATTTTAATTTGTATTTTCCTATTTGTAATTTTTTCACAAAGAACCAACTTTTGGTTTTGTTGATCTTTTGGATTGTTTTTTAAATTTTCATTTTATTTCTTCTTTGATTTTTATTATTTCCTTTCTTCTATTGGTTACTTTTTTTTATTTGTTGTTGTTTTCTAATTCTTTGAGATTGTTTCTTTGAGTTCTTTCTTGTTTTTTGATGTGAGCCTATATTGCTTATTGCTATATACTTTCCTCTTATTACTGCTTTTGCTGCATCCTATACATTCTGGAAAGTGGTGTTCTCATTGCCATTCTTCCATTCTTCTCAAAAGTATCTTTTTTTTTTAAAGATTTATTCATTTATTCATACAGAACTGGGGTAAAGGCCAGCGATGCGGAGGGTGAGAGGATTCACCAGAGACAGAGTGGGGAGCAGAACAGGCAGATCAAC